AATCGGGACTGGGAGAGACGGCCCTGATTGCCGGCCAGGCCAAGGGACCCCGTCCGTGCACGAATTCGTGCACCAGGCCTCTAGTGAATGATAAAAGAAAATAAGATCAACCAAACCAAAATTGATCAACCTCTGAGCAAGACTGACTTAAAAAAAGAAGAATCCTAAATAAGCAATCTTAGACGAAAAGGGGCACTTGAATATAGCCAGAAGAGATGAAAAAGATGCCTACAGATATGAAAATTTAGATGAAGTGCACAAATTCTACAATGTAAATGACTGAAGAAAAACTGACTGAAGAAAAAACTAGAAAATATGAATGTTCCTTTTACCATGAAAGAAATGGAATCAGTAGTTTAAATATTTTTTTCAAAGAAAACACCAAGCCCAATTTTATAGGTAAACTCTATTAAAAAATATAGAGTTTACCTATAAAATTGGGCTTGGTATTTTCTTTGATTAAAAAACAATAAAATAATATAGCCAGGAAATTCCCCCGGTGGTCAGTGTGCTCCCACAGCCAACCTCCCGAGGTCCCTCCCCCAAGCCAGCCGGCCCCAATCACCCTAATCGGGACTGGGAGAGACGGCCCTGATTGCCGGCCAGGCCAAGGGACCCCGTCCGTGCACGAATTCGTGCACCAGGCCTCTAGTGAATGATAAAAGAAAATAAGATCAACCAAACCAAAATTGATCAACCTCTGAGCAAGACTGACTTAAAAAAAGAAGAATCCTAAATAAGCAATCTTAGACGAAAAGGGGCACTTGAATATAGCCAGAAGAGATGAAAAAGATGCCTACAGATATGAAAATTTAGATGAAGTGCACAAATTCTACAATGTAAATGACTGAAGAAAAACTGACTGAAGAAAAAACTAGAAAATATGAATGTTCCTTTTACCATGAAAGAAATGGAATCAGTAGTTTAAATATTTTTTTCAAAGAAAACACCAAGCCCAATTTTATAGGTAAACTCTATAAAAAATATAGAGTTTATTAAAAAAATATAGAGTTTACCTATAAAATTGGGCTTGGTGTTTTCTTTGAAAAAAATATTTAAACTACTGATTCCATTTCTTTCATGGTAAAAGGAACATTCATATTTTCTAGTTTTTTCTTCAGTCAGTTTTTCTTCAGTCATTTACATTGTAGAATTTGTGCACTTCATCTAAATTTTCATATCTATATAGGTAAACTCTATCAAACATTCAGGGGTAGATATTTACAATGATAAACACTTTTTTAAAAAGTTGTTTTATTATTATTTTTTAATCCTCACTCAAGGACATGCTGAGAGAGAGGAAGAGAGGGAGGGAGACAGAGAGAGAGAGAAACATCAATGTGAGAGAAACATCGATCAGTTTCCTCACATACTCACCCCAACTGGGGATTGAACCCGAAACCCAGGTTTGTGCCCTGACCAGTGATGTACTGGGGCTGACACCCCCTCCCAACCCAAAGCCACACAGTGCAGCTACCATAGAAGCCTCTTTTCTTGTCACTGAATAATTTTTTTAAGTGTTTGGAATCAGGGTTGCATAAGTCAATTCAATATAATATCCATAATTTTTTCATAAATGTAGATAATAGTATGAATGATGTGTTGCTACAGTTACTTTTATTAAGAAAAATTTGACAACTATCTATATTCTACAAGGAAAAAAAACGAGGCAGATGTCAAACCAAAATTAGTATCCATAAGTGGCTTCTCAGAACTCTTATCCTAGAAACTGTTGAGGCTTCCAGATCTCTGTGCTCAACAGTTGATAGTGTAGCATGTTTATTCATGTCAGTAGCACATTATTAAGCTGAAAGGGCAATTTAGATTAACAGAATATGGACTGGCCCTTCTTCTACTTTCAGTTATTAAAGCCTGGATTTGATGTTTGGAGACTTCTTTTATTAGGCACAGAAATCATGATATTATTGTTAGCTTGCAATATCCCAAATATTGTCCAATAAGTTAGCCGAGTGGTATTTCTGAAATAAAGCCAAAGGCCTCCAATTTTACTCCGTGTGAATTAATACCACCACGTAGTTCCCTAACTTTAGTTGGTAGTAGCAAGACCTGAAAAGAGAAATTACACACCTGTCAGCTGCTCTCTGAAATTACACTGATTCTGTTTCTGCGATTAAAACCTTGAAATTATAACCAGATGCTCATTAACTTGATAAGCTCTGGGGAGGAGAGGAGCTGATGAAGTGTTAGATTCAATGACATCCTGTAAGTAAATGCTTTCAACTATTCAGACACAGCCATGCCTTGCTGTTTGGTGTGAGGAAACAAAGAGAAGAGGATCATTCTCCTTTTACCGTACAGATGTGTGTGGGCTACATGAATGGCTTTATGGTGGCTTTTGTGGAACAATTCAGAATTAACTGGGTCACCACATTACCTTTATAAAACTGAGATGCTTATAATATTAGATGCTCTAACAAGCTATTGCAGTTTCCAAATGAGCACAGGTGTAAATCCTACTAGGATTATTGGACCATGACCATCCAACACTCTTTAGTTAAATGTTGAAAAAGACATTTTCCTTTAAAAGCCATTCATAATCCAAAAGCAAATGTGCAATAAAGTGTTTGTTAAAAGCGATGTGGGTGTTTTGACTGTTCAAAGGCTATTAGCTATTCTAGGAGCTCTGACTCCAAAGTCTAAATGAGAAAAGCAACAAGGTCACAGGTGTACCACATGCTCCTATCCTGTGGGTCCCCCAGGAGGCAAAATACAGAGCACTTCCTGGCGACAGTGTTGGAGTCTGGGTGGGAGAGTTCCCCGGTTTGCAATTGCACCCTCTGCTGGTAAATGCAAAGGTTCTCTCCCTACTGGGGCTGCTCGCTGGCAAATCGTTTGCTCACCATTTCCCTCCAGTCAGGAATAGAAAATACTAAAATTATCTTAGTATAACACAAACTGGGCTACAAAGTGGCTATTCAGCACCCAGGATTAGAAAATCCAGCCCTGATGGTAGTTGTTCTATTCATTCATTATGAACAGCTCAAGCCTTCTGTCCAACTTGTACATTTTTAATCTGGGGGCAAAATTGATCATCTCTTGTCAGAGTCTGGGGACTTAGGACCAGAGTGCACTTTGCTATGCTAAGTCTATCTGTCTTTGGCAAAAGAAAAACAATCTAACATAGGAAAGGATAGATCAGTGGTTTTACAAGCACTTCTCACAACGCAAGGGCTATGTAGATTGTCATTTGTGTTTTACGATGTGGATATGTAAATATACACTTATATTTTAGCATATACATACAGCCTGGCATAGATATGACCTTATGGAAGTATACACAAGAAACTTTATTACCTCTTTGTAGAAGGACTAAGGGATGTGGGAGGGAGAAGTTCACTGCGCATTTTATACCTTTCTGTATTGAGTTTTACTATAGACATTCATTACCTTAATTTTGTTTTTAAAAATTAACAGATTACTTATATGGAATACTTCAACTTTGAACTAGTCAAATATTATAAAACATTTTCATTTTCTTTATAAGTTTTGAATTAAAAACTTAATATTATCTAAAAGAATAAGAATAGTTTCTAAAAAGGTGTAACTACATTAAAGACCAAAGACAAAAGTACAAAAAGTACCATAAATTTATACAAAGTTCCATATTTTTCTGAGAATGATTTTAGTCATTAATGGAAAATAATGGGATTAATAAAACATTTGAAAACTTGTACATTACAACTATATAATAATGTTTTTGAGAAAGAGTTCTTTCAAGCATGAGTTCTGAACAGATCTCTAACTGTTACATATTGAAAAAAATTCACATTTACTTAATAGGCATAAAATCCCTTTATGCCTGTTATGTAAATGAATCCTGCTATTTTGGTACTTGATTAAAGTATAATTCCACTTTTTAAGGTGATCATTCATATTTTACACTAAGCTTTGATATTTTCTACTTACTAGATATCTATATAAAAATACCCTTTGGTCATGAAAAACATCTTTGCATTACAAAATGTAGCTAGAAAGATGTTTATATCAGTTCCAATTTATATAACTTTCTGACCTAAAAATATTGCTCTTTTTGGAACTACACCAAATATATAGTTTGTTACTGAGCTTAAGCCAAACCAGCTAGGGCTGAAATACTTTAAAAAGTCAATTAATTGCCCTAACCGGTTTGGCTCAGTGGATAGAGCGTCAGCCTGCGGACTGAAGGGTCCCAGGTTCGGTTCTGGTCAAGGGCATGTACCTTGGTTGCGGGCACATCCCCAGTAAGGGGTATGCAGGAGGCAGCTGATCGATGTTTCTCTCTCATCGATGTTTCTAACTCTCTATCCCTCTCCCTTCCTCTCTGTGAAAAATCAATAAAATATATTTTAAAAAATTCAATTAATTTAGAACACCTTTCATGTCAGTCAAAAGGGTAAGATCAAATGAAATACCTCACATGAGTGTAAAATCTACACTTGATTCAAAATGGCACATGGAAGATGTGTAGCCTTTCACTGTGAAAACGCCTCATCTCACAGCAGCACCAGAGTTTGAATTCCTTTGACAAGGATTTTGTTAACATTTTTAACATAACATGATGAATAAGGCTCTACAGTAGTAGATAGACTCTAGAGGAGAAGGTAATTAGATGACATACTTTCTAAGGTTTCTACCAGCCTTTCTGTTGTAGGAAAGACATCCTAGGTATAGTTTGCATCATTTTGTTGTTCGTTCTTATTCCATAGTAATTATAACTGTGTGACTTTATTATCCTGAGCTCCCTAAAATTTGCTAATTCCCTCCTCCAGCCACCAATACCTAAAGGTTTATATTTTCATTTTAGGGTCTCATTTTCTAAACTGAATTGACCCATTGCCACAATGAAGAAAACACCCTCAAACTCTTTACTGATCATAAACCCTAGTTGTTACTGGCTCTGGCTACTGTCATTAAGGTGAGATCTGTAACCACAAGCTTCCCTACATTTTTCTGTCCTCTGTGATGACACTCTGTGTCCATTCACCCTTCCATCACCATACCTATCTAGGTGGCTGCTGGAAGATCCACAGCTCCTTCTGTTTCTTCTCCTTTTGTTTCAGCTCTTTCACTAACTTTCTCCATCTCTGTTCCAACCTCTTCGCCTGTTTCACCTGGAAAAGTAACCAAAGGAGATATTAAGAGATGCTTATTTAGCATTAACAATAAAGTACCCACAGCTGGTTGCCAATGGGGACAGATTTTTGTTGTTGTTAATCCTCACCCAAGAATATTTTTTCCATTCATTTTTTAGAGAGAATGGAAGAGAGGGAGGGAAAGAGAGAAACATCGATGTGAGATACATCAATTGGTTGCCTCCTGCACATGCCCCAATAGGGAATAGAACCCTGAACCCTTCAGTGCCCGGGCCGACACTCAACCACTGCTACACTAGCTATGGCTGGGGACAGCTCCTACTCTTTAGGTCTAAACAATACATTTTTTTGGTGGTTTCAAGAAAGGTGATCACTTTGGTTCTCTCAGATTCTCTGAATGCCAATAACAACACTTCTGAATCTGGACACTGCACATACCAATCTATTTCCCTCAGAAGTCGGTTTGGACAACACTGGCCCCATGCTCATGGGTGGAGCCAAGAAGCAGCTGCCTCTTCGATAGGGACCATGTTCCTATTGACCAAAGTCCTTGTGAGCTCCGCGTGACCTTCCATGTGCCCCTCCCTTCACTCCCTCTCATTATCCTAGGCCCTAAAGACTTGACTTTGCCAGCCCTGGTCTAACAAATATCTGCTATTTCTTGTTTCTCCCTTGTCACTCCCAGAGTACTTCTACATATCTTCATTAAAGTGCTTATCTCAATAGATTGTGGTAATTTGTTTAAATTCTGCCTTCTTCCCACTACTGTGACCCCCTTGAAAACAGGAGCAATCTCTTACTCCTCCAGAACCCTAGCACCTCGCATATGATTAAGCACAAAAACCACTGTGCTAATAAATGAAAGAATTAAGCAACAGAGGGATAAATGCTTCACTTAATTATAGTGTGAAGCTAAAATTAGCCAAAATGTAAATCATGCCCCAGAAGAAATGTTATTTTTTATAGTAACTCCAATATAGGCACCATTTATTTTTCTCTGGTAAGATACACTTAAAAAACACCATATGCCAAAACAATACATTTCCTCTAGTATTCTCTTAAAGGTAAAAAGCGTATAGGAGGACAAGGGCAGAGTAATTTTCTAAGGATAAAACTGGCAAAGATAAAAATTATACTGTAAGATCCATTATTTGTGTGTTCTTTCCTTAGGAGGTCAACTCCTCCACTAACCATCTATTCATCTTTCCCTTGGAACCTCACACCACACATGGGACCTGATGAAGAGTAATCATGGGAAAGTCCAGAAATTTTAACATGTTGGCTTCAATATTCGGTTCTCTCCAATGATGAAACTCTAGGTTAAAAATCTGGACACAGAACGTGCTTTAGAAAAGTTTGCTGGAAAGCCAAACGCCTGTTTTCCAGATATGGAAACCTTTTTGACTTGGGTCAAACGAACTTCAACCACGTGTAATAGATACTTCAGTGTATGTAGAAGCCACATCCCCCCCCCCATCCC